GGTTGGTGTAATACAAGGGTAGTTTTTTTCTTTCTTTCGTTTTGAGCACTGGAAATGTAGTGACATCTTAAAAAATGAAGTAAAATGAAATAAAATTTTCCCTTCTTTTCGCAGCAGCTCTGTAGCTGTGGTACAGTGTGCACTAGAAGAAATCGCACTTATTTAAGCACAAGAGGCACTGGGAAGGAGTCAGTTTATTGTATCATGAGCGCGTTTATAACACAAATAGGGTTACACCCATGGTGCTTGGGAATATTAACCTCCAAAAGTTCCTGAACCAGTGTGCGTACGGACATGGATGTTGGTGGAACGTGTGGTGTAGTGGTGCCCAAAAGGAGTATTGGATGTTATTGTGAATTCAAGTGTTGCGTACATTCAATAACGTTGAAATCAGTGATTGGGACGCAGCCCGACAAAGATAAAGAATGCTCATGCTACGTATTTAGTGGATGGGATACTTCAGAAAGGACTCTACCTCAATATCAACATTTATTATATTTATACATCAACGCTATTATTACACTACGACAGCCAAAGTGTTTGTATTGCCTATACCGGGTGTTTTTTTGTTAGTTTTTCCCGATGTCAGATTTTTCATAAAGATGCTATGACATTAAAAATACGTTGCCGCTACGAAAGTTACAAAGACCGACAAATGGCCAGAATGTGTTATTACATCTTGGAGGATAAAGAAAGACCCTGACTTATAGTGACAGATTCAAGCAACCTTTACGCGAGATGAGTAGCATTTATTTTTAAATCGAGTTTAAAAAGCACACTGAACTGGTATGTCAAACAAGCTTATGTCAAACAGGCTATAGCGGAACAGCCTTGAAGCTGGATTATGGAGTCGTTCACTTTGGTGTACGCATTCCGCTGTCAGATGCTTTCATGCGCCCCATAAGTAGTGCTAAAAATAAGAATACGTACAATGTGATGCATCCATTCTCAAATTGTGCTGTTTACGAGGTAACAAAAAGTTGCACGCTGTGAGAATTGGCTCCGCCTTCGCGGTGACCATGGCTGCGGCGGCTGAATTTCCGATGGCGGCGGAAATGTTGTAGGCCCGTGTGCTCAGATTTGAGTGCATGTTAAAGAACCCCAGGTGGTCTAAATTCCCGGAGCCCTCCACTACGGCGTCTCTCATAATCATATCGTGGTTTTGGGACATTAAACCCCACGTATCAATCAACCAAAAGTTTCAAGCTTTGCTAGTTGCTGGCATATCATCATCATCATCATCATCATCATCATCATCATCATCGTTTATTTTACTCTTAAAGGCCCTTTTCAGGTTATTACATAAGGGGGGGGGGCAAAAGCAACAAAAGCAACCAAATCAGCAGGGTCATTATTATATAAAGGAGGACAAAAAAATCAATAAAATCATAAACATAACTTGCGATGCTAAAAAATGTTTGCAAAAATACAGAATACATGATTCCACTTTCAAAAACGAGGTAAAGACAGTGCAATAGGCAAAACAAGTCGTATACATATCGTTACAAAAACAATAGTACATGAAATAACACTGTAATGCTCGCAGATTATGGGTTGATAAAACATGAAAGTATGTGTCTAAATCGATTGGAGTCTTGCTCATGTACAATTTGTTCGGGCAACGCGTTCCACAGCTCAGTAGGAAGGATTTGTTGAATGCTTGAGTGGTACTGTGTAAGTATTACACACTGAAATTAATAAACAGACGGCGTGAAGTGCGGTTGGGTGGAAGAAAGAAAGTGTCTCTGAGGTTGGGGAAATTATAATACAGTTTGTGGAAAAGGAAAAGTTGTGAAATATTACTTAATCTAGTAAAAATATGTAGTGAAGGTAGTAAAATACGCTCTAAACAAGCAAATACATGTGTTGCCGACTGTTCATTAACTTTTTAAATATTGTCCTGACCATGCCAATACCATACGTAGCGGGAGAAATGTCCCTATGTGAACTAGTAGTGTGGTTGTACTGCACGAGATAAGTCGCCAAGCTACTCGACCGTGGTAGCGTGTTTAGCGTAGTTTTGAAGTTCTTATGCATATGATGGCATCGGTTTTATGTTACTACAATAATTTTTAGCTCCATAAAGTTATCAAGATAAAGTTATCAAGCCATTCTGTATTTATTATATAAAGTCATCTATAGTACACACGTGAATAGCTTGACACTATCAAAGCCCCATCGTACGTTTCACAGGCTTCACAATCAGCATAAATATATAGTTTTTCTCGCCTTTCGGCCACACCCAAGTCTTTAACGCATCCGCGCTAGCACATGTCATTGCTCATTGGAATGATGTTCCTCATGATGTAGTATGCATTCGCGATCACGTAACATTTAGGAATAAAATACTAACTATTTACGATTGTGCTTCCTAAACATATCTTTCTTATCGGCGTTCATTGTTTGTACATTTACATGTCAACTCATTTAATTATGTATAACACTTGTGTCATATTATTTGTGCATGTTTTTCCTCATGCTTAGTATTTGCATACCTGGCTTTTGTATTTAATTTGTTTGTTCCGTGTTTCTTGGGGATAAAGTATTGTGTAGTCCCCCTCACATAATACTCCTACTTGGAGCCTGTGAGGTATTTGTAAATAAAAAAATATAAAAATAATAAGATAAATGTTGCCTACGTTGAGGAATTGTAGGAATGGAATTGACCTGCCTGGCCATTCCCGGAGTGGGAATGGGCTAATTTTTTTTTTCATTCCGAAGAATTAAAAAGAATGAAATTACTTGCGATTCTCCTGAATGAAATTGGACTGGAATTAAGGTATACCCATTCCTCAACACTGGTCCTCAGAGATCTCTTACGTGTTACCATTCGGACTCAAGTTCGTCGCCTGGTGTTCTCGGAGTCAAGTCGGGCCGTAGACGTCTTTTTTGTGTGTGTGGTGCAATTGTAGACCACATTAGTCATTTCATCTATGCATCTTGTGGCTCACTTCACTCTTTCTGGTGGGCTGAATGCTTAACGGCAAGACACGGCTTCCCTGTAGTCTCTCAGTGCTATAACATTTTGGCTACAAGAGCCGAAAACTTTTGCATTATTTGTTGATTTCTCTGACAATTATGTATGAATAAATTTATGTTCTTTCAACAACCTGTACTCTTCGCTATAGAAAACGTCGGTTTGAACGCAGCTGATGTGGACGACGTCGTGGGCCAGACACCAGCAAAGAGACCCGCCAGACCCCACACCTCACAGCCCCCGGCTCGTCGGGCGTACAGAAAAGGCAGCCGCTTTGTTACTTCAGAGTGAAATACCCATCGCGATGATTTAGAGGTACACTAAAGTAAACTATTAAGTCCACGTTGATTGTTGAAATGGCGATCCAGAAACCTCGTAGTGTTACTTTTGTGCCAAAGAAGGGCCTATTCTGAAATGAAATCACGTGCTCCACGTCAGGTTAGCGCTCTTCAAATTACCCGCCTCAAGAAGCCGACTGACCGGACCGTCTCACATCACTGTTGCCGTGCACAACGTTGCCCGTCTTTACTGCGCCAGTAGCAGCAGACCGAAAGCAGCGGGAGCTATAAGCAGCAGCAATGGCCATTGATCAATTTACCACCATTGGCTTCGAGATTGCAGACGCTTGTGTTTCAACTGCGCCCCATTAAATAACACCACCTGTGCCGTGTAACCATGCGAAAATTGAATTTCTGAACCACTTGCGCCATTCCCCATAGTAACGTCCGGCGGTTCTTTTTTCCATGAATCAAACAGAAACGAACAAGCAGCATTTTATTGCGTCTCTTAATGTACGGAACGTTCTTTATTTAGTGCAGTAAGATTTATTACTAGAGATTAATTGTAGGTGGTCCGTCTTATGTCATCGGGATCATTTCGAAAATGTCCCACTGCAACGCTTGTGTTTTTGTGCGTTTACTTTAATTTCTCGGTAAGTAGGACACTGTTGATAATATTGTCGTTTTAGATGTTCTCACACATTGAGCTTTCGCTCTGACGTAAATAGTTATTTGAATTTAGAGTCCCCTTAAGGCCATGATCACACGCATCCGTTGCAGCTCATCGCCACGTGGCTTTTTGACGCGGCGCCGCGCCTTCGCCTTGCGGAGAAATATGGCGTTTCTCCATAGGGCGCCGCGCCGCATCGAAAAACCATGAGGTGACGCGCTGCAGCATGTTTGTGGTCAGACCTTAAGCCTGAAGCAACCCGCGTCGCGGCTTTACATTGCCGGGGAAAGTGGCAAGTCATTGCACGAGCACCAGGGTCTTGCATAACCATTGCGCGCCATTAATGCTTGACGCTTCCTTGTTTGTTTGTTTTTTTCGCGGTGTGCGCAAGAAAACCGCCATTTCCACCTGTTTATTTCATGGTACTATCAGAGTCCTTTAGTGCTCCGGAAAGCCATCGCGACGTTTTTTTCTTGCAGGTAGAACAGGTGAAAGAATTGCGAATTTTTAATACTCTCAGAGAGGGGGGAAAACACCACGCAGCACATGAAATAAATAGGAGGTCCACATTCATAATTACGATGACTTGCAGTTTTGTCTGAGCAGATTCTGGTGCGATACTTCATCCAAATTTCGTCGCTTCCACATCACGCGTATTTCCCTCTGACGTTCCCTGTGCGCACAGTTTCGATATTTCTTGGATAGGGGACCCAAACCGAAATTCTCAGTTTATTATTATGTCACACTATAGAACGTGCGATTTTTTATTTCTAGAACATGGGGATGTTATGAATTGTAATGCCTTGCAATATTGTCATGTAAATAACTGTGCTAAAGCTTGAAATAAAAAAAAGCGAGGTAACTAGTTTTTGTTGTAAGTAAAAGGTAGTTTTGCAGCGGCAAAGTATTTGCACCTCATCGTAGAGCTCGTATTTTAATGCAAGTGTTTTATGGTCGTAGCCTCTTTATTTAAACAAAAAATGTCTAAAAAACGCCCGGTATAGTTGACGCGATATACTTTCATTATACACCAATAACATAAGTAATGTAATACGTAAGCACGCAGGTGAAGATATTTTCGTCTTATTACGAGGAGTTTATTCAGTAGCATTGTGCTGTTGCTGTGGTGCACAACCTGTCGTCATGCTTCAAGCTTCACACAACATGCAGCTGGGCATAAGACACTCCAGAAAGTGTAAAGCCTTACGGAACACCTTCTCCTTGAATGCCTTCGTCGTGATGTTTGCTATTCTTTGTAAGCTGCAAGGACAAATATTCGTGGAATGAGTTTGTTAGAATGAACTCCAGCACGTCACATTGTACATTTGCCTCCTTTTTTAACTTATTTAGAATGGCTGCGAGTGGGTTACTGCTCAAAAATTCTAATATTCACCACCAACTTTGTCAAATAAAGGCCTACAAGAAAGTCGATAAGCATATGTGTGACGTCAATTGGAAATGCTATGAGTAAAAGATTGGCTATTTTATCGTGATAGTTGCCCTTGTATGCAACTTGTATCGATGTGGTGGCTCTATCTCCGTCTATGTCATTGTCAGTGGGTTTTCGCGGAATACAGTCTTGGCCACCACGTTTAGGCACATATTGAGTGCCAGGCGTGTATGCACTTAAATGAACACCATCTCGCCAACTGAAATTTATCGAAAACATCCAGTTCAATGCCTCTCTGCCCTATAGTCCCAATCTGCCCCTGGACGTTCAAATAAATCGATTCATGCACCTTACCACATAAATCCTAAGAACGTTCACTTAAAACACGCCATGGTGGCCTAACAGCTAAGGTGTTCAATTGCGGTGCTAGGCGACACGCATTGGATTCTTGTCCATGGCGGCCTCACGCCGCTGTGGTCTAGTGGCTAAGGTACTCGGCTGCTGACCCTCAGGTCACGGGATTGAACCCCGGCTGCGGCGGCTGCATTTTCGATGGATGTGAAAATGCTGTGTGCTCAGATTTGGGTGCACGTTAAAGAACCCCCAAGTGGTCAGAACTTCCGGAGCCCTCCACTACGACGTCGCTCTTAATCATATGGTGGTTTTGAGACGTTAAGCCCCACATATCAATCAATTGTCAAGGAAGGCGGCAAAGTGCAAAAATAATCATTTACTGAAAGCTATAGGCGCCCATTAAGCAACGCATCGACCAACCAGGGGGATAGGATTAATCATGAGTTCCTTACTACGACGCGCGTCCAATCGTGGTTATGCATGGTTTATACGTTCATCAAACCCTCAAACTTAATTTTCTTTGTTTGCATAGCGGTCACAATAAACCTGTATACCTTGAAAACCCCTGAAAAAACTTGCCTGGCGTAAGCTGTCAAGAGACCGTGAAATAGGCTCGTGCGTGACTCAAACAGTTACATCGATGATCGGGGGGTGGGGTGGGGACGGTTTGAGTAGGCACGCAGGGCATCGACGACAAAGAGTCACTGATTTGATTGGCTAGTAACCATATCCACAGATACCACAGCATGCCCTTGAAAAAAAATTCTATATTGGTTCTATAAATATACAATAGCGTCATAACAGGATGTGTTTTTCCAATAGGGACTGCTACAGTTCGCATAAATACATACGCCAATACTTGTATCAGGGTAATAAAATGTCCTACATGTCAAAGTTATCTACCTTGCATATACATCGAATGATATACACTTGCATCTAACAAACAAAATGCTTTACGAATTCTCTTAGATGCCGCATACAAGTATTTTTATTGACCTGTGTTGGTCTATTCAAGAACACATTCATACAGGTAAGCGCATGAAGTTGAGCAGCTGATGGCAGAAGGTCTGAACACACATGTTTGTCAGCCCTTCAAGTGGTTCCGACACTCAAAGCTTGGTGGTTCATGACAAGATCCCTTTAAGCGGTGCACTTCAGTAAAGTTTATTGCGTTTCCAACTATAGCTGTACGAAGCGCATTAATAGTACTCATAATATTTGAATTTTTATAGCTATTCTAGCAAAGCGTAGTTCCTAATTAAAAGAAAACTATTATATTAGTAATTTCTTGAGAGAAGTAAAGCTGTTCAAGGCGGCGTTGTAAACCAACTTTTAAATGCTGTGGTTAATACCCGTTGCTGTTTAATTTCCAATGCTTTAAAGGCCAAAACGTTAATGTGATATGAGACTCGCTGTAGTGAGGTGCTCCGGATTGCTTGTTACGTGACTGTAATTTGATTTTATACACAGTCACTGTTACTAACTACAACTATGCTTGTAATTGATACACAGGTTATTTGTGTACAGACATATGGCTTTATAGCCATATATGCTAGTAAAATCCACCATTTTTATTCTTGTATCAGGTGTATTGGTTGTCGTAATGTACCAATACAGGCTATTAGGTTTATAGCGAGATAGAATATACAAATACGAATTTGATCGGTTCATCAGCTCTTTCGTATCACAATCCAATAGGACTGAAGCAATAAAAAGCAATAAAATACTGCCACATAATTTTTCGTTAGTTGCGACGGATGTGCGCTCTTATTACAGTAACTTCCCTTCGTCTGTACATGCGTCAAACTATAAGAGCATGGTGTGATCACGTGTGAATGATGCTATCGTGTTCTTTTTGTTTCCTCTACTTGACCCCATCGGCCTTTGCTTTATGTAGCAGGCATCAACGAAAGGACGAAAAATGAAGGTGGATATTTGTTTTCGAACAATTTCCTTAGGCGTATATAATATTCACACAACTATGAGGTTGATGAAGGGCAAACAGGGAAACAATGGCCAAAGCAAGCAGCGCTATCCCTTCTTATTGATGAAGAATATTTTGAAAGCATATTTACCTTATTTTCCAGTTCTCCATGTATCTCTTGAAGTGGCGACTGCTAATGATTTCTCGTTTTGTTGTGGTTGGTTGTGAGGAATCTGAAATTCGTGTGATTGACTCAAAAATATTGAATGGCAATACTTCGTAAAAGCGAAGGTTTTAAAAAATCACGCGTTTTAATGGTACTTATCAACGTAAAGCCTGCGTCGTGGAGGCAGCGTTTTTCTTTCGTGCTTGGTTATTGCTGTTGTCTTAATCTAATGGTCCAATAAGTCACTGAAATCGTTGATCAATCCAACTATTCCTCAATTTCGGTTAATTCCAAAGCGTTAATAGATTACAGTTCAAGTTTGCGAAGTCAGCCTTTCGTTTCTTTTATGAGAGTTAGAAAGGTCCTGGTATATTTATCATTATTATCGGCCAATTTCATGAACAATACAGGACGAAAGCGTCTCTCAATCATTTGCAATTTACCATGTCCTACGTGAGCTGATTCCAATTCGCCTGCATGATTCCTTAAATTCACCACTCCACTTAGCTCTTTCTAGTCCCCGGTTATGTTTCCTAGCTCTTGCTATCCGTTCCGTTGCTCTCACTGCCCGTATATTTGTCCTTAAGATTATCCAGGTCCATATTTACCTTTTAATGTCAACTAGGATTTTGAATAAGCCCGTGCATTTTTGATTTACTAGGCTGTGTCCCTAGCTTTAATTATAACTCCTCTCATTTTTCATAGCCTCCTACGCTTCGACGTCTTTAACTTCTTCGCCAGTTTATTTGTTATCCTCCAAATTTCTGCCTGTATACCGGCAGAATGCAGTGATCCACTGGCGTACTCAGGGGGTGACCGCTCTGCCTCTCGATTTTTTCCCGGTACCATACAGAGCACGACATGACACTTGACCACAACCACATCTGCCTGCCCAACCCCCATTTCATATCAAATAATGCCCTGCCCCCCCCAAAAAAAATTCTGCTTACGCCCCTGCGGTGATCGTGCACTTTCTTTTTCAGGGCAAGGGTAAGTTGCCGGTCGTGATTTGTGAATGCTTGCCATATGTGCTCCAGCCAATCCTTATTCGTCGGTGAGTAAGATGGAGCTTATTCGGTGAATATATTTTGCACGAAATTACCGTTGTTAATAAGCGGGCATAATATTCACACCCATGTACAGACTCTAGGGTCCGGTTTCCAATCGCGAATTGTCCTTCTCTTCCCGACTTACCAAGCACCATTCTTGTATTCTCCAAATTTATCTTCAGCGCTTTGAAATTTCCTACGTGTAGGTCGTCAACCCTTTTCTTGTAATTTGCTGCCATGGCAAAAAGTACGATGCCGTCTACGGAGGTATTTTTCGTTATCTTTATGCCTATTTTTTCCCAATATAGTTGTTTGAAAACTTGTTCGACAACACGCAAGAGGTTTTATTTCGCGGTTGTGGAGTCTTATTTTGAAGAAGTTTTATCCTGTAGCTAGAAAGTCTTAGCAGATGTTGAGTAAGGTATTTGCGTATGTTTAGAGTACTCCTTGACTATGCAATGCCTCTATAAACTATTGGATCTCCAATGAGTCCAATGCATCTGCGTACTGTGTGAAATGCATATAAAGTGGTTTGTTGTGCCTGAGATTTCCTTAGTCACCTGATTGCTCATATGGCTGTGATTCATGGTAGAGAACCATTTCCTGAATCCAGCCTGCTCTCTGGGTTGCTTGAAGTCGAGTGTTTATCTTATCTGATGCGAAATTATCGTCGTGAATATTTGGTACAATATTGAAAGAGAACTGATGGATCTCTAAACTTTAACATCTTTCACGTCCCACTTTTTGTGTATTGGTACAATATATATGCCTTTCCACTTGAGTGGTGCGTTACGACATTGTGTATCGAGTGTCTCGAGCACGAACGTTGCGAGGAATTTTATTTTTCGGGAAGATTAGGGGTTTAACCACACTTAATGTATGTTCGTGCGTTCGTTTGTATGCGTGTGTATACGCAAGCAAAACTTAGGAATTTCGGAGGAAGGGGGAGTGTAACTCCTTTCTCCCCCCTCCTGGCATCATCCAGTGGTCGCAAGGTTTTTTAGTATGAAATCCTCTTCACATTTGATCAATTCAACGGCTGCGCCGTCTTGTCCAGCTACTTTCCTCCATGACTTCTCTTGTACACGCTTTCTAAACTTATCGATACTCACACACGGAACTTCAGTGTCCTGTTCGACAGTGAATCACTCATGCTAGGATGTCTCATCTGCTAACTGTACAGCTCGAAATAGAAGTCTTTTGCTACCTTCACTATGTCATTCAAATTGCTAATAACATTTCCCTGCTCATCTTTTATGTGTTGTTGAAAACAAATTTAAAAGTTAAAAGAAAGATTTGAAGCGATATATAATGCTTCTCGCGAAGGTCTACATATAGCGGTGATGACTCTGTTTAATTAAATAATTTTATGTATGAATACTTGCATAGCTGTATAAATATATTTGCTAATTGAAATCAGCTCCAAGTATTTGCGCCATTTTCGTGCATTTCGTTCATGCCAAGGTAAGCACTGGAAACCATTGACGGTGTGTTTGTCCTAAAGAATTGGAAGCGCTGATTGAACCGAACGAAACGATCAGGAGTGTCGTGATTGTTGTAACGAACAAAAAAGTAAAAGAGCAGCAGAAACAACAACTACAAAAAAGAAAAAAAATTGTCTATTGCCTCTTTGAGGATCAGCTATATTTCGCAGCGCTTGCAGACGCAAGCTGCAGGGTTTATTGCTCAAAGCTTACCAGTGTTGTTCTCTTGAAATTTTTCCGCATAAACGTACATGTATCCAGCGGGGGCGTGCTTCAGTGGAGTCACTGTGTGGTAAACTCCGGTAAAAATCTGAAATAAAATATGCGCGTAAGGAAGGCATGGGCCTTGGTATATTTTTATACGTTTCATTGAGTCTGAGACACCATATAATAGATATTTATTTAAAAATTTTCTTTTACGGCATAGCTCTGCGTCTATCTACGTCCGCCTGGCTGCACAGACTGCCAGGCACAAAAATATTAATTGTGTGGTGAACACACAATTCGGGACGGTGAACATCACCAAGCCGTTCGAATGCGATTCTCTACCATAGCATGTGTGTTAACGCTCGTGAAGGCTGCCGAGGGCGCCGCTTTGAGGCAATTCATTTCCTTATCAACAAAATAATGTATAACACTCCCCTATCCCGCCGAACCTTCCAAGTCGGAAAACTGAAAACTACTACCCTCCTGTATAAGTCGGCATCTCGACAGTCATTCCTTGCTAAACCACCGTGTTAAAACATTATATTCTTTGGTGATTACGTGTGCCCATTTAGACACTTATTAGATCATTTGGAAACCTAGGAAATGGGCTCGGAACTTAGACGCGCGCTGTTTGCAGCATATTAATGTTTTTTTCCAGTGACCGAAAAACGAAATGAGGACAGAAATTAAGGCTATACGCGCAATCAAAGCTGACTTCAGGGTGACAACGTAACTTGAATCTCTGAGCTGGGACTTTTACTAAACCGTGCCTACCGAGGTACCGAATGTATTCGCTATGAAGTATAAACAAATAATAAAGACAAAAAAACACGAAATATTCATTTCTACGATAGAGGCCTTGTTTGAACTTGTAATCATATGGTGGTTTTAAACTCCACATATCAATAAATTGTTAAACCCCCCATATCAATCAATCAATCGGGCCTTGTTTGAACAGAAGCTGAAGAGTCAAGTAAACATTTTGTCCAAACTGAAATATAGCTTTCCTTCATACCTTTACTGAATCGCCTTTTAGTGTTCGTGATGTCATACTGAAATTTTCGGGGTGACAGCTTCGTAATATAGATATCATTGTTTAACGTCCCAAAACCACGATATGATTATGAGGGACGCCGCTGTGGAAGGCTCTGGAAATCTCGACCACCTGTGCGGTTCTTTCACATGCACAGGCCTCACACAGTACAAAGACCTCCACCATTTCGCCTCCATCGAAATGCGACTGCCGCGGCTGGAATCGTACCCACGACCTTCGGGTCAGCATCCGACCACTGTAACCGCTACACTACAACAGCGGACGGGGCAGCTTTGTGTTCATGCATTTCGGTTCGATTCAGGCTCAGCTACGGAGTGATAGTTGTAACGGTTGGAAGCTTTTTTAAGGCTCTTCATTCGTGTTTGAGCGGGTTGGAGAGAAAAAAGAAAGAAATTTTTGCTTGTTAATGCTTTCCCAAAAAGCAAACAGTAATTAGGAAATCACAAGTTCGTTTGGGCAAATGGCTGAAGGCGGTTCACTCTTGCATGATCAGTCTTTTTTTTATCCTTTTAAGTGACAATAATGAGGCTCCTTGCACTGTTACACGTAAATACGTCGCCATTGGTGCACTCATGGTGCTTCTCGGTGCCGTCAAACGCGTTACTTCCTACCCAAAATTTATCCTTCATTGGATCATTTATGGTGACTAAACATAGACAGTAAATAGGTTCAAATTTGCAGAGCATGCTTTACAGATTATTTCCATAAATTGCGCTGTAACATAAAGTGTTAATAAATCAAAGAGGAGTCACTCCTCTTTGATTTATTAACACTTTATGCACGCAAACACTAACACGTTATGCACGCAAAGCTCAACTTGAAGTTGAGCTTTGCGTGCAGATTCTAGCGCTGCTACATCACAACAACAACAACAACAACCAACAACAACAACAACTACCACTACTACTACTACTACTACTACTACTACTACTACTACTACTACAATAATAATAATAATAATAATAATAATAATAATAATAATAATAATAATAATAATAATAATAATAATAATATTAATAATAACAACAAGTCACAGCTTTGCCGCAAAGGCGAAGCAATGAATGCGATAGCAACGAATCGGAATATCACGCGAAGAATGGCAAGCATATTGAAACGTGCCCTGCGTTGCTCACGCACAAATGACGCACGAAACGTAATCTCTGGTACAAATAAACGCGAATAAGTGCCTTAGTTGTTACTTCGCTGTGTCTGAAAAGCGCGCCCTTTTCGCAAACGGAAACTGTGCAGCGAGTGCAGTGACCGTTGTGCGCCCGGTAACTACAGCATACTCGTTCGAGTGAAAGCGCAAGGCGTACGATTCTACCCACCGCGAGATAAGCGCGCGCACGCGTGAGCGTCTATACCCCTCCCCTCCGCACGGAAAAAGTAAGCGTGGGAGATGAACGAATCAGTGCGCGGCGCCGCGTCGTGACGATCTGGAGACGCGCGCGTTCATTGCGCCATCTGACTGGTAATGCTGAAAACACGATAGTTTTCCTGAGATAGCCATCGGCAGCAGCGTGTGGTAGATATATATAGCTTGCCGTTTCAAAGTTGAAGGAGGTGCTTTTTCGTGGCTCAGTGGCTAACACCACGCACTCACAAACAGTAGGTCCGACGTTCGATTCCGCATGCCGGAGTTGAGTTTTCACATAGATACGTGTACATATGCGGTGAATGACGGCGATCACCAACGACGGCGGCAAAATCCAACCGCGAATGTCGATATGATTAGTATCGCTATAATATTATTAAACGATTTTCTTTTATTTACGCGAGTACCCTCAGGGCCGGAAAAGGGCATTACACATGGGGGTGGGGGTGGGGGATACAAGTGTGGTTACGAAACGGAAAAGGGTGTTAACATATACTATGTGGATACTGGTACCTTCAACCCCATTCTGCGGTGCACCGCAGCTATGAATCACGCTGAACTAGCGTCACGACAAGCACAGCACTCATGCCACGGGCAGTTATACAACTTAAGTAAAGTAGCGTGACAGAAAGGGGCGCCTCACGTTTGTGCTTTCTCCGGTGTGCAGTATACGCGTCGAACTCATCGAGGGAAACGAGACGGCCACGGTTCCATTGAGAACTTCCAGCGATGCGTTGTCGAAATTCGTGCCTATGTAGTTGATGAGAGTAAAACCTGCAAAGACCAGTGAAGTGTGCCATTTGTCACGATTATCGTCGTTTCTCATGAACACGTGTACAAGGCCGCCGGCCACAGTGGGTTACGGCGGGCATTCCTGCTGCGTGACAGCGAAATTCGTGGGTCAGGTACTCACACAACTTCTCAGCGTTTTGTGACCGGCCAGCAGTTTTCCGGGGGAACCCCCCACCCTTCATGATAGCAAACGGTGCGATAACGGGATGATCTTTTAAAAATGTACTGTCGAGATGGTTTGTGGCTCATCTCAGTGTTAGGTGATTCGGCTCACTCGCATACGCGGGCGTACCAACACACCCAGTCAAGGAATTGAAAATACCTACAGGCACCCACTACCAGTTGCTTATTCATCTCATAAATACCTACATTTACATAGCGTGTGACGCATGCGCAATCTACAACACTAAAGCAGCTCTCATCAAAAAAAAAAAAAAACATGATGCCTATAGACTTTGTCTGGTCAGATAGGATCTCTCGAAAACACATATGAAACAAAGACACTAAAAGTTCACCGACAATAAAGAAGTGCCCCGGAGCCTCCTTATGTGGTGTTTTTTCCTGCACGTCTGTGAAGCATTAGCACGCAGTAAAGCTTTGTCTTATACCTACAAGATGCAATACAAAAACAAAGTGCGCATACTTGGCTTCTCTTTTCTTGGTATTTTTGGCATGTTCCTCTAATCCCTGATTTCCATGTCTGTCTGTCATGTATTTCTTCTCTGTCAGTTTTTTGGGATGTACGATTTGCTGCGGGAGCCCCGCCGCGGTGGTCTAGTGGCTAAGGTACTCGGATGCTGACCCGCAGGTCATGGGATCGAATCCCGGCGGCGGCGGCTGCATTACCGATGGAGGCGGAAATGTTGTAGGTCCGTGTGCTCAGATTTGGGTGCACGTTAAAAAACCCCAGGTGGTCTAAATTTCCCGAGTCCTCCACTACGGTGTCTCTCATAATCATATGGTGGTTTTGGGACGTTAAACCCCATATATCAATCATCAATCAATCAATCAATTTGCTGCGGGACAAGGATATCGACTGTAGAAACCCGTAGAAGATGTCAAAAAAAAAAAAAAAAACCTTGAGCTCGTTGCCGAAGTATAGCGCTTTTTTCACTGACAAGAGCGTCAGCTTAGTTTCCAAATTTTCTCAGGTGCCTAAAGATTCTATGGCTATCTAAACACAACTTGCGGCTTTGGGGTTCACATTTCAACTGTTTTTATTTCTCTTCCACTTTCAAATTTTGCGGTAGTGTCTCGGCAACAGTAATTATCGACGGAAGGTAGCGAGCAGGCCCTAATCAGATATTACTGAAATAACTTACATATTGCGTGTGCCCGGCTTCATCAGCGTAGATTTCATGCCAAGTGAACTGACACTCCTTTTGACAGTCTTAAAATGCGATGAATACAACAGCAAACCATTATTAAAACTCGAATCACAAACCTTGACACCGTCAGATATTTCTCTTTTTTTTTCTCGTATAGCAGAATCAACAGTATGCTGAATGACCACTGTCACAGTTAGCACAGTGGAGTGTACCATTACAGTTGTCAAAAGTTTGTTCATGCTGACCAAATTTCGCATAAGTTAATCGACCTCTCACGACAGTAACGTACCGGACATTAAGAAATCGAAGCATGGCCCGCATTACCAAAGCTGCACGCATGCAAAGAGCGACTACAAGAAAAAAAAAAACTTCAGCAGAAGATCATGGCAGAAGCAAACGTAGTGCTTGTTTCCGATGAATTCTCCTAGGAGGAGCAGGAATTCGTTACCATGCTATAGTACCTCATGGGTGCCACGCGAGTGATCATGAGTAAACTAAAGAGTCAAATACACTGAAATTTTCAGTGATCACCATGGCATACTTCAGAGTACTATTTCAGAGTGCTGAAGACGCTATGTGAAACACCGGCCTCAGTAATGCGCGTGCAGTGCTCGTCTTTTTCTACCCTCTCCCTATTTTTTCTTGTTGTTGTTGTTGTTGTTGTTGTTTGCAGCGAATAGGGGAAACTGCGCTGGAGTTTCCGCGGACATGGAGAGCCGCCCTGTCGAGCGTGGCCGGAAACATTCGGGCGTACATGCAAATACTAACGTGAACCATGCCGCCGTGCGCGATGATAGGACGAGGAAAAAGAAGCTTTGAGACTAGCGTTATTGTTGTATTCATAAATACCCTAACCACCAAAAGTTTTTAATAACAGAAAAAAAATTAAAATGCATAGTTGACTCCCTCGAGCGTCGATTCATGCCAATGCACATGTGTTGGCGCTCTGTAAAATATCACAAGATTTTAACTTGAAACCTCCCTTGAAAACGTTCAAGAAAGCACATGAAAACTTCGGTTATGTAAGCATTGCGCTGTATATTACACACACCGTATTTATTCGATCGTAACACGATCACGATTGTGACGTGAGCGGTGAGATTTAATTATTTCTAGGAAGAAAAAAAGGAATTTCGGTACTCAGTACGCAAGAGTCTAAAATGTGAGAAAAAAAAACCTTGCGTCTCATTCGAGTAAATAAGGTATAATATCTGACTTTCACGGGCACAGTTTCAGACCGGTTACAAGACGATGACTTCTAGAAAAACCGTGATGATATTCGCATGTTCCATTACGACCACACACTGCATGTCAACCACGGAACCACCACAAAATCAATTACCACCAGGTTGTTCAGAGGCATTTTTTTTTTTCAAGTATCAGGCTTATATAGACGACGGCCGACGTACCACAGGCTTGCGAACGGTCTGCAGACGATGGCGAATCGACTTCGTTTAAGTACGACCGCTGCGACTTGTTTGAATTTCAGCTAACACAACTGATATCTGCTTTACACTGGCGCCTTAGACATTCACTTCACGTTTCACCGTCAGCTTCAAAAAGTTATTTTAAAGACTGCGACACGACCATTTCATGGGTTCGCGCTTGCCATTGGAGCACCATAAAGGAAAGTAGTAACATATAATGCAAGAGCTGCGATTAGCAACTGCGTAAATGTGTTCTCGCTCAAAACAGCTGTCACTGGGCCCACTGGTATACCCCAGTGCTGCCTGAGAAACTAAACTACAACTAGTGAATGAAATAAGAGAAGTGCTTCACGAAATTTTATCGAAAGGACATGACGTGGTGTACCAGTGGTTACCGGGACATTGTGGTATTGTCGGTAACGACCTTGCTGACAATGCTGCCCGATCCGCCCACGCGTATGCCCAGACAACCCCGATTCCATTGTCGAGAATCGACGCTGCAAGGGGCCTTCACTCGTTCGCTAACACCATGTCGGAAACTAGGCTGAGTGACCCCAGTGTCGGGAACCGCCGCCTTCACAAATTGGACCCATCGAGAAAGCTTCAAGTTCTATCGGACCTCTCTCGCCAGGATGCAACTTTACTGTGCCGCCTGTGGTTAGGAGTAGCTTTTACGAAGGCGTACTCCTTTCGCATAGGAATTGGCGGATAGCTCCCGATGTGAATCGTGCGACACGGACGAGACAATATAACATCTACTATGTTTATGTGAACGTTTTGCGACCGAACGCAACTTGCTACGCGAAACGTTAGAGACACTAGACAGTAAACCTTTTTCCGAAGAGAAGATTCTTGGTTCATGGCTGTACGCGTCGCTGGCCAGCAAAGCGACGCGGGCATTGCTAAGTTTTCTAAAGACGACCGGACTACGCGACTGCTTATAAGCGTGCAATAGACAAGGTCACATCTATACATACGCTGCCCTTCACTTCTCTCTCTCTTCTCCTTTAATCCCCTCACCCCTTCCCCCAGTGCAGGGTAGCAAACCGGACGTGCGTCTGGTTGACCTCCCTGCCTTTCATTTCTTCCCTTCCTCCCTCCTTTTCCTCCTCCTCTACTAATTTTACTTAAAAGCGGGCGCATAACGAGCAATTGGTACACTACGTCGAGCATCGCAAGCGCTGTTCGAACACACTTACCCGCAAGTTTAAGCAGTACAATGGTTGGCACTGCGTCGAAAGGTCACACTGTTTCTTCCGAGTCATAGACGTACTACTTCACATTGTACAGCGTCCTTCCTTTCGACAACACAGTCTCGCGAAAGTTTCCGACTGCGCACAACATATAGCTGAAACCGTAGCAAAGAATAATCACTGGTATCGCTGCTCGCCCGCTGCGTCGCAGTTTTCAGCGAAGTTTCCAATTCTTCGCTGGTCTTACGTGCTCAAAAGTATCTACAACACGACGCATATCAGGCAAAGCCGGTGTTAGTGCCGCACGGCGTTCGCCATGCGTTTCAGCGCGCACGACGTGTACGAGGGTACATTAAAACGTGCCCCCTCATGCCGTAGTACACCTCGCGGCGGGTCTGTCCTACTAGCTGGTTCTCAGCGAGCTCGCCAGGGCGGCGCATTGTGTAAATTTTAGGCGTTCAGTTCAGGCTGTCAAGGTGAATGGACGTGTTTTTTGAGCGCTCCGGATCGACTGCGCAGATAAGTGTTTTTGCATGTTTTGAGCTTGTCTTTATAATTATAAGGCAGCGGTTGAAATCTTCGTAGTACTTATTTTATGGTACGGCTTTTTCGGGGGCCAGACACCAGGTATTTATTAGTTAGTGCGGGTGTGTGTGTTTGAAATTTTTTGTTTTTTTTTTGCCACCCCGTGGGGGAGGTGCGCGTACATTGAACACGCAAATTTTTGTAGTAGAGCTTAGACTTTCCTTTTTTTTATTCGAAGTGCAGGGCTCGAGTTTAGTAATTATTGAGTATAGGGACAATTGGTGTCAGAAAGGTATGGTTAAAAAGACCGTAAAGTGTTCAGGATGTGGAGTGGGTTTGAAAGTGGACCCAAGCGTAGAAGCGGATGGAGAAGAGGCTGGCGCGAAGTGTAGGCAATGTGAGGTCGAGGAAAAAATGGAGAAAATGATGGTTGCCCAGAGTGAACTGCTGAGGAGAATCGCCGAGCTCGAGACTGCGGTGGCGACAGAGCAAGAAAAAACGAGGGCAAT